CCAATGTGTCTCCCTAGTTTCACTCATCATTAGATTTAGATCGTAATTTCTCCATCCATAAAAATAAAAGTTTCTCCCTGCTGCACCCAAAGCTTTTGGACACCACCCCCCCCCACTTTTTTTTTCCTCTGCGTTCACCCAAATATGTCACGTGGTATTCAACCCCCCTCCCCCCCCCCCCTTTTTTTTTCCTCTGCGTTCACCCAAATATGTCACCTGGTATTCAACCCCCCCCCCCCCCCCCCAAAAAAAAAGGGGGGCACGATGATCGAAAAATACGCTCCCGTAATCTACTTTCACTATTTTAGACAGCACTGTTGATCTTTTTAATGTCTGATATAGATTAAAGTAGCACCCTGGCAATCAACACTATTGATTTTGTAATAACTGGTACAGATAAAAGTAGCCCTCTGGCAATCAACAGTATTGATATTTGTAATAACTGGTACAGATAAAAGTAGCATTCAGGCAATCAACAGTGTTGTTCCAAAGGAAGTGTACGATTTTGATATTCACATGAATTTGAAACTGAAGTCACTACCTGTTCTCTCATTTGTGCCTGTACCAGATGTAGGAACTGACATTGGCTCAGAGGCGTAGCGTGGTGGGGGCAGGGGGGGGACAGATGTCCCCGGGCGCCAGCTAGTTAGGGGCGCCAAAATGTGCTTTGATATTATTTTATTGATGAAAAAATGGGTTTGAGAGTTTAAAAAAAGAAAAAAAGGGGCGCTAAAAATGGATCTTGTCCCCGGGAGCGTATCTTGTCCCCGGGCGCCAAACACCCTCGCTACGCCACTGCATTGGCTAGCCAGTACCAGATGTAGGAACTGACTTTAGCCTGCTAGCTGCAACATTCCCAGATGTAGGAACTGACTTTAGCAAGCCAGTACCAGTTGTAGGAACTGACTTTGGCAAGCCAGTACCAGATGTAGGAACTGACTTTAGCCTGCTAGCTGCAACATTCCCAGATGTAGGAACTGACTTTGGCAAGCCAGGACCAGATGTAGGAACTGACTTTGGCCTGCTAGCTGCAACATTCCCAGATGTAGGAACTAACTTTGGCAAGCCAGGACCAGATGTAGGAACTGACTTTGGCAAGCCAGGACCAGATGTAGGAACTGACTTTGGCAAGCCAGGACCAGATGTAGGAACTGACTTTGGCAAGCCAGGACCAGATGTAGGAACTGACTTTGGCCTGCTAGCTGCAACATTCCCAGATGTAGGAACTGACTTTAGCAAGCCAAGACCAGATGTAGGAACTGACTTTGGCAAGCCAGGATCAGATGTAGGAACTGACCTTGGCCTGCGAGCTGCAACATTCCCAGATGATGATTACTGCAATGAAGTTCTCACATAGATAACACTTCTTTCAAATAAGAACCATGAATCATCTTGAGACTACCGGTAAGTAATCTCCCACAACTACACAATGGTTTGAGGGTTTTTGACAGCGAATTAAACTCATTCTTTTAATGTAGTCAGCCGAGAACTTGGACCCTATTTGATGGATTAAGCCAATATTTCATGGACTAAGATGAGATGTATTGAGACGAGTTTAGATGGATTAAAAGAGATTATATGGATTAAGTCAATACTAGATGGAATAAGACGAGATATTGCATGTCAAGTCCAGTTATGTCACTGTTCTGTTTATGTATAGTTCTGTGTTGTGTTTTTGTATAGTTCTGTGTTGTCATGTTCTTTTTAAGCCAGTTATGTCACTGTTCTGTTTTTGTATAGTTCTGTGTTGTTATGTTCTTTTTAGGCCTGTTATGTCACTGTCCTGTTTTTGTATAGTTCTGTGTTGTCATGTTCTTTTTAGTCCAGTTATGTCACTGTTCTGTTTTTGTATAGTTCTGTTTTTTCATGTTCTTTTTAGTCCAGTTATGTCACTGTTCTGTTTTTGTATAGTTCTGTGTTGTTATGTTCTTTTTAGTCCAGTTATGTCACTGTTCTGTTTTTGTATAGTTCTGTGTTGTTATGTTCTTTTTATTCCAGTTATGTCACTGTTCTGTTTTTGTATAGTTCTGTGTTGTTATGTTCTTTTTAGTCCAGTTATGTCACTGTTCTGTTTTTGTATAGTTCTGTGTTGTCATGTTCATTTTAGTCCGGTTACCATTTTAATGATTCAACTCTTTATCTCTTATATATATATAGGCCTATATATATGTATATATATATATATATATATATATATATATATATATATATATATATATATTTTTTTTGTTATTTTCTCTTCTATGTGTCACGTCTGCTCTCTCTCGAATATTCTTTTTTTTGTACTCTTTCTCTCTTATATATATATATGTATATATATATATATATATATATATATATATATATATATATATATATATATATATATATATATATATTGCTTCTGGTACTTCCTGTTCCATGGGTAACGTCTGGACTCTGGCAAATATGCTTATTTTTGTCCTTTAGAAAGGAATGTATTTTGAATAAACTTTAAATGTGTTTGTTAAATATCACTGTTTTTTCACTTATTTGTTCTGGGGCTGCAGGCCACACAGAACTGGGTCATGGGCCACCTGTTCACTTCGGTGGTGTATGGGCTTGTGGGTCTGTAGCCTGGTACAGGAAGGTAGTGCTATTTTCGTTATACTGTGACTGTTTTGTAAGTCTTTGTTCTCTTCTGTTCTGGTAGGGTACGCTGCTGAATCCACGTACTGGCATATTTGCAACGGTTTGAGAAGCGATGCTGCCATCCTAACGGCTCCTAGCGGATGCCAGGACAGCCTTGAAGCTCTCGATTGATGTCGAGTCGACGGCGGCATTGTCCTGGTGGTTCCAAGCGATTCTCTTCTTCTCCTTCTTCTTTACTCTGAGGGCCCACGACCCATCAATTGATCACTCGGTCTCCTATGTTTCAGAGTGTATTGTGCGTGGGAAGAATGATTGTTTGAATGTTTGTTTGTTAAAAAATGAACGACAGTATCTTCTCACTTCTCTGTCGACGGGTTTTTTGTACAACATCATCACTACTCCGGGATCCGGCAACTGCCTGTTCCTATCAATGGGCAGTGGCTCAGTGGGTTAATTCTTGACACAAAAGGTGGACGAAGGCAATGCACTCTCACAACGACATGGGCAGTAGATTTCGTTGCATATTAATATTATAGAAAATGAGAAGTTAAATCTTTTTTGTAAAACTTGGATCCACCTGGATTTTCTCAAAATACCCGGACCAGGTGTTAAAAACTGCACCCGATTAAATTAAACCCTGACGGTTTGAAATAATAAAATGTGTTATTGTTTTGTAGCTGTCAACCGGATATTTATGTTTTTTAAGAACACATTTAAAGGTCTTTTGCCAATGCTACCAGAACTTGGGAAATTTCTCCAGATCATGGGAATTTACAAATCCTTTGGGAACTGGGGAATAATTTTGAAAACCCGAAAAAACTCTAGTGATCTCAAGTCCTTTGAAAACTGTGGAAAATATGAATTAAAAGTAGAAGAAGGGGAAAAAACAGTGTTAACATTGTAGAATTACTGCATACAGGTTATTAGCGTTTTAATGAAAAAAAAATATTTTTATAATGCAAAAGTCTATAGTCTAGTAGTAAGCGGTACCGTCCCCCGCTTGGCGCTGGGACTGCCCCTAGGCGCTGAAATCGTCGTTAATCATCACTGGTTTTACACCCCATGTAGGGTCCTGGACTGCTCCACAACATCCTTCAATTTTGCTCGATCACGTTCTCTATACATTTCCAGTTTTTTTATATTTTTATTTATTTATTTATTTATTTTTTAAATTTAGTTTAGTGAGATTTTGTAAGTTACATTAAGTAGGGAGATTACTCTATAATTTTAGCAATCCAGCTTAGATCCTTTCTTGTAAATTGGGACTATAACTATAAGCGCAGTATCCCATCCTATTGGCATTTCTATCCTGGAAATGACGTCATATATTTGTGTGTATCAGTGTCCATCTCATTTTAACATTTCTGCAGTGATAATATCTTCTCCTGAGGTGTCGTTTTTTTCATGATAAAGGTCCCGTTTTTTGTTTTTGTTTCATTCAGAGTTTGTTGGCTCTAGTACCACACTGCTTCCTGTCAACAGTTCTCCATCTGTAATTTCACATTTCAAAATAAATTCTTTTCCTGTTTTATCTTTAGCTACATTCCCCTCCCCTCACATCTCTCTCGTGTGCCAAACTCTTCTATCTGTACCATTTTTTTTTGTTACCTTTCCCGATCACATTTTTTCTTTACCTTTCCCAATCACATTTTTTCTTTACCTTTCCCAATCACATTTTTTCTTTACCTTTCCCGATCACATTTTTTCTTTACCTTTCCCAATCACATTTTTTCTTTACCTTTTCCCAATCACATTTTTTCTTTACCTTTCCCAATCACATTTTTTCTTTACCTTTCCCAATCACATTTTTTTTCCATTCTACTAATTTTGGTAGCATCCCTTTTGTTTCATTAAATATTTTTCGTGTTTCTCCTTGTCTCCCTTTACAGCATCAAATGTCGGAGTCTACGACAGCGCATCTAAATTAAATTCTAAAGCTTTGTGCTTCTTATATGTCCAAGCCATTTAATTATGCAGCCTCAAGACAAATTGAAGGACTAAGTCAACTAAGTAAATTGTCAGTTGAAATGTTTCTTAGTGCCTACAACAATAATTGAAAACGTAATTATCTATTTTTAAAAAAAACGGGAAAAATGCGATTTTGTTATTAAATGTAAATGCTTAGACTTAGAATTACAGTACCTGAATCTGTAATTTGTAGACCAACCATTTTGAAATGTTTAAAAATATATATATGAATTATAAATATTTTTATTTTTTTTTATTTTTGACACTACTGTGATGTGGTTGTCTGGGGACTGTGCCCCACTTTGCCTCTCTTTGAACATCTTTTCACATACATGCAGTTTGGAGGAAGCTTATGGATTATTTTTAATCTGGGTAAATTTGTATACCAAATCTGGGGAAGTTTTAAAAATATGACTGGCAACACTGGTCTTTACAAATGCCGTTATCTAGCGAAAAAAATCGTTGACTGTTTAAAAAAAATTATTATTTGAATTAAGTAAAGCCCCAATAAATAGGTAAATAAATTGATTTTTAAAAGTAATAATAAAAATTTAATTAAATACGCTAGAGACCAATTTCATTTGTATTCAGAATTCATTTGTATTAAATTTATAATAATAATTAAAAGTGTGATAGAGTAGCAGTAGAGTGTAGAGTTTCACACTACTAATCTGAATCACTATGACTATACTAAACTATAATAGTAATAGTATACTATACTTATATTACACTAGCTATTATAAACACTGTCTAAGACTTTTTAAGAGTAATAAATTTAACATTAATTTTAATTATTACCGTAATTACTAATTTAGAATAAATTTATTAGGTAACCTTCTTTGACAGAAAGTTTGGTAAATTTAAAAACTTTTTTGTTTAAATATTTAAATACCTGTAGATTTAAGAAAACAGAGCACAGTGAGCATGCTAAACTTGACTACAGATAAAGTAACATGGATACCACAATACCAGTGCTAATACTAGTATATAAATATCCAATCAATCAATAAATTTACGCTATCCACGTCATGACATTTTACACGGCCGCCACTTTTGTTGCCTCGAGGGTACCAGTTCATGGCAACGAAGGTGGCAGTGGTGGGAAAAAAAACACACTTAAGCCTAAGCTAAAATGAGGGAGGGGAAAGGGAGAGAATGTGGTGGTTTAGCTATTACTTATACCGAAAGAAACGAAAATAGGACAAAAATGATTAAATTTAATGTAAAAAATCCGCCTGTAGGCTGTAGGTCTACATATATATTTCGTGGTGAATGTAGCTATTTTTTAAAATTGTATCCCTCTAGATATTTGGTTCATGCCTCCTATCCAACCTAAGTCTGCTCAACAGGGACAGTCTTTGTCTGCATCAAAGCATAAACATGTATTTTTTGGTACCATTGACATAGACCAGTGATTTGCCTGTGCCCACAACATATGTTGCTATTGAAACTTTGCAGACATTATTTACCCTACAGGGCTGCAGTGTGCTTCTTGCTGTTCTCGTCTCTTCACCTTCAACAGGATGAGAAAAAGCTGTGGACTTGCAATATATTTGCAGGTACTTTGTGCAACCTGCAAAGAGGTTAAGGCTGAGGTATTTCCTTCTACAAAATCTGACGGGGTCTACACTCTACACAGACAGGCCTTGGCTGCATCAGTAGCAACTGGAATGGGCTACGCTGGTCTGAAAAAATTTTCTGAACTAATAAATGTGCCAGTCATGCGTCAGAAAACCTGCATTCAGCACACTAAGGTGATTTCTGAACAGACATTTCAGCTAAGCTACTGGCTAAAAGTGCTCAGATTGTACAAAAGGCCTACATAGAGCAGAGGATAACCTAAACAGAAAAATTGATATTGATGTATATAGGAAGTCAAAAAAGGGTGTAGGCTTCATCTTTGAAAATAGAACTAGAATTGTGGTGGACTTTAATGTCATGTCTAAATATTGCCATCCCTGCAGCGATATGAGAGGCAGATTGTTAAAAATAAATCAAGCCAAGTTTGGTACTTGGAACCAGGAGCACAAGTCATCTTGCGACACCAATCATTATGGCACAAGTTGGAGCATGGGGCAGCAGGCTGCCAGGAAAATGTGGGCTTGTTCATTGGAGAGGCAAGGCTACAGGTTTAGGAGTGTTGTTTCTGATGGTGATACAAACGCTATGTCGACCATATTGCCAAAAGATTGGGCACAGCTTTGAGGCGTGTAGTGGAGGTAAAAAAATAATTTTTTTTAAAAGCAAAAAATCACTCTTTGCGATGGGAAAGGGAAGCATACTCAATCTAAGATTGTTAAGCTTCAGAAGTATTTCACCAAAGCCCTACGCTCCAAATTCACTGTTCTCATATGCGAAAAGCAATATGGGCCACAAATAATCACTGCATTTCCACAGATGAGAAACCCATTCACAGTAACTGTCCTACTGGTGCAGCTTCATGGTGCTTCTATCAGAGAGCTGCATCAAAAGGTCTCTCACTCGGGATGCATGAGAAGATGTTTTCAACTTATCTATGCCCTTTAGTAGCACAGCACCTCAAACAAGTGTTTGAAAGGATGACGCAGGATGACTTGTTATAGCGATTCTTTGAGGGCCAGACACAATGTAAATAAGTTAATAAATAATACATTGTTATTTGGAGTTGTTGCCCTAAGCACCTTTTTATTGGAAGGCAGCAGCTGGAAATTTCAGTTGCATTGGTGTTAGAGAATTCAACATGGGAGCAAAGGCCTCACAAGATTTTTTAACCCTTGTAAATCTAAAGGCAGGTATTCAAACACATCTACTTAGAAAAAATAGGGACCGCATCTGTCAAGCCCAGAAGTCCTTAGAAAATAATGAAGAATTTAGAAGGAGGGTTAGAAAAAAAAAGAAATTGTGGGATTTTAGATATAGGAATGGGGGACAGGGGCGCAATATATACCAGGAGAGGCTGATTTTTTATGTTGTATACTTCTGAATTTTAAAACTAAATCTTCCAATTTTGATTGATTATGTAGTGTGCTATTTTGAATTTAAGTCATAATAATAATGTTGAAATTTATAAGTTTAGTATGCAAAGTAAGATCATGATTTTTTAATGATTTAATTTTTTTGGTTGCATATTTGTCCCTGAGAATCCATAGTTTTACATGAATTTTTTGCTTATTAATTTGCCAATTTATTTTTATGTTGAAGAAGATGAAGTTTATTTGATTATATTATGCTCAAGTTTTTAATTTTTTCAAATAAGAGTTTAATTTCTATTTTCCTCTAAATATATTTTTTTACAGGATACAAAGGTTTTCATTAATTTTTCTCAAAATCTATCTGTTCAATTGTGTTAAAATTGTGTATACTTGTTTAAATACGGTTTAAGAATGATCAGGAAATTATTTTTATTTTACTTTTAAATGGCTTTTATATCAAACACTTCCAATAATCCCCTTGATATTACCATCTCGACACCCCCCCCCCCCCTTTTTTTTTTTTTTTTTTGTTTTTCCCCTTCCTTTTTTTTTTTTTAATTTTATGCTCCGCCGGCGTAAAATTTTTGAAATTAATTAATTTTGTCAACCATATTTGGCTTATCTAGGCTGATATACATAATAAACTTTAAACATGTTAAAATTTTAATAATTTAGAAAGTGAAAATGAAGGTAGTTAACCCTCTTCAAACATTCCATCCGTGTAGGAAGAAAAGTTAATTCTAGTAAAAAGATAAACAATAGGTTGAGTATCCAGGCATGGCGCCGATTGCGGAAAGTGACAGAAATGTTTAAATATTTTCATGGTACATCGTTTTAAAATGAAAGAGCTGACTATGAGGTTTTTAAAAGTGAAGTTAGGATTTTTTTACAAATAATTGTCTATGCCCCTATTTAAACTATATATTTTCCCCAAAAACTTGTTACCCACTTTTGAAATTTCTGCAATATTTTGTCCACAACAATTTATTTTTAAAGAAAATTGCACCAAATTTTCAGGAGACATTCACAATCTAATATACAACACAATGAACTACAAAACTTAAACATTACTTCACGACTTGGTATTTTGGATTATTTTATTTGAGGGTATATTTAAAAAATGTATGTATTGAAAAATTGGAAAAATGATTATAATAAACTTTAATAAAGGCAAAAACTAAATACAAAAGCATAACATTTGAATTTTATTCCGATGTTTATTGACATACATTTTCTTAAATTATCCTTTTCAGATTGAAACTTCTAAAATGCAGCATTCTCAAGGTTTTGATAAAAAAGAAGACCAAAGCTCTGTATCGGTACATATTTTTCATCTACAAACCCCAAGCTTAAGGCTGTTACCTGCCTTCAATTTTGAGAGAATTGGTTTTCATGTGTTAGAGTTAAATCTGGACAACAGCAAGATCTCATATCTTCCATGTGGACTTCACAACCAACTGCCACTGCTTGAAACATTGTCAATAAATGCAAATGATTTATCCTTATTACCAGAAGATATTGGTCATTTATACAATTTAAAAGAGCTATCTTTAAAAGACAACAATATTTCTATACTTCCAGAGGCTCTTTGTCGGCTTTCCAAGCTGAAAATTTTGGATGCAGACTGCAACAAATTGACAAAGCTTTACAATGAAATTGGACAAAATCTATCTCTAGAAATGATAAAAGTGAATGGTAATATATTGAGACGTCTCCCAGCAACATTCGGATTGTTAGCTAATCTAAGAGTTTTAGAGGCCAATGATAATCAAATAGATCTCCTTCCATCAACTATCAACTTTCTGGAGAATTTAAGAATTTTAAAGTTAAGAAATAATAGACTCACAACTATTCCACCGTCATTTGGCGAACTGGAAAAATTAAGTCACATTGACCTGTCAGATAATGGATTAAGACATTTATGTGAGACTTTTAAATCCACAGCGACATTAGAATATTTGGATTTGGATATGAATAAGTTGACTCTATTCCCAGACTGGTTCAAACACCTTGAAAATGTTAGGATAATATCAATGAAAAAAAATTACCTGTCAAATGGAGCTGTGCAAGATGGATTTGGATTAGTTTCCAAAAAGTTAAAGATATTGGATCTCAGTGGGAATGCCCTCACTCACCTTCCTGAATCAGTCGGCCATTTGGAATCTCTTCAGATTTTATTACTAGGCACAACTTGTCAAAATCAAAACAAACAAAATTATTTTCAAATCGGGAACTGGCTTGAATCTTTACCCCTTTCTTTTATATATCTTACATCATTGACCAAACTGCATATAGAAGACAATCAACTTAGAGTTTTACCCGAGGAATTCGGTAGACTTATCAATTTGGAAGAATTATATTTAGGTAATTTTTTTCTTATTCATTTAAGATCTCTTTATTTTCAACTAAATTTTTATTAAATTATTAAATATTTTCCATCTTTTGAATTTATTAAGTGCCGGTACTCAAATTACCATATAAAATGTTCTCAACTGGCAGGTTCCAATATGTTTGCCGTGCTGCCAGGCTCATTTACAAAGCTGTCATCTTTAAAGCAATGTCGCCTTTCAAAAAATAGGTTGGAGTTTCTGCCAGATGATTTTGGTAATCTTGAAGCTTTGATAGAACTCTGTCTTGATTCCAATAAGGTATTGTATCACTGTTGCTTAACTTATATACAAATATATAAGGGACCAGGCATATATTACATACAAAAAATATTCATTCCCGCCCCCTGGTGCATACATACATTTTTGGATCCTCTCCTCCCCTAAGTTTATGACCTTCTGCTCCCCTATCTTTATGTTCCTCCCCTCTCCTATGTATGCATGCCCCCAAAACAATTTATTTATAGACGCTTAGGCCAGCAGCCTGCTGGTCGAGAGCCTTATGATTCTCATTACAGGATTAAATGGGGCTCTATTTTTTAAACTAATGTATATGACATACGGCTCCCCAATTATTTTCTTAGCAGATATAATAATGTAAAGCAAATGCCTTCTCACTCAAAATAGTTGGCTGACCCCTTCATTAAATTAGTGTCTTTATCATCTAAACCAGGCTCAGACTTATGTTAATAATATTAAGAATTAAAAGGTAAGGGACTCTGGTCTTCCACTTTTACTGCGTCCAAGTATAGAAGTACTAATCCAATCATTTTATTATGATTCATATTGATTTGACTAGTTGATGTTGAAGTACTATAACAAAAAAGTTTATTTTGTTGGAATTTTGTTAAACAGACTGAGATTCATTTGAACTCTACTGTGACTTTGGGTTGGGAAAGGGGGGCTTTGTTAATAACATTAATGCCAATAGCTTAGTTAAATACAGTAATACCAAATAGTTTAAGTAAATACAGTAATATTCAGTATTAAGTACTTTTAACAAATTTTTGGTGTCGCATACAATCATATTTAATTTAATCCAGCATTTTTTACATGAATTTACTCTGTGGCCATGACCTTGGTACACCTTGATTTTCAGATACTGAAACTTCACTCAGTGAACAAGATTTATAGACTTAGAATATATTTAATATTTGCATATTCTGAAGTTTCACTCAATGATAATGAGTTATATACTTATAAACTATTAAATATTTACTTTGGTGTTACCTTTAAAAAGGGGTTTACTGTTTTATACATTTGACTTGAAATGATGTCCATCTAGAACAAAAAAGAATAATAATCAGAAATAAATAAATAATAATTTGTTTAAATTGAGGGAGTTGGGGGGGGGGGGGCCTGTAGCCAAATGTTCTCAGTTGGCCACACATTTGAAAGCTTATCATTTAGCCATTCTGTCATTAGAGGACAAAATAAGGCTTAGACTTGATCAGACTCCCTCATCTTAATATTTGCCTTCTTTTTCTTGTTGGGTTGGTGCTATTTTAGGGACTTTCTTTAATTTTGGATTTTTAAAACAAAAAAAAATAATAATAAGAAATAAATAAATAATAATTTGTTTAAATTGAGGGAGTTGGGGGGGGGGGCCTGTAGCCAAATGTTCTCAGTTGGCCACACATTTGAAAGCTTATCATTTAGCCATTCTGTCATTAGAGGACAAAATAAGGCTTAGACTTGATCAGACTCCCTCATCATAATATTTGCCTTCTTATTCTTGTTGGGTTGGTGCTAGTTTAGGGACTATCATTAATTTTGGATTTTTAACATAGGCCGTGATCACCCCTTATAACCTTGTGTACAAATCACCCCTTATAACCTTGTGTACAGATCACCCCTTATAACCTTGTGCTAATATTTCCCCTTATAACCTTGTATACAGATCACCCCTTTTATTTGAAAGCTTATCATTTAGCCATTCTGTCATTAGAGGACAAAATAAGGCTTAGACTTGATCAGACTGCCTCACCATAATATTTGCCTTCTTATTCTTGTTGGGTTGGTGCTAGTTTAGGGACTATCATTAATTTTGGATTTTTAACATAGGCCGTGATCACCCCTTATAACCTTGTGTACAGATCACCCCCTATAACCTTGTGTACAGATCACCCCTTATAACCTTGTGCTAATATTTCCCCTTATAACCTTGTATACAGATCACCCCTTTTATTTGAAAGCTTATTATTTAGCCATTCTGTCATTAGTGGACAAAATAAGGCTTAGACTTGATCAGACTGCCTCATCATAATATTTGCCTTCTTATTCTTGTTGGGTTGGTGCTTGTTTAGGGACTATCATTAATTTTGGATTTTTAACATAGGCCGTGATCACCCCTTATAACCTTGTGTAAAGATCACCCCTTATAACCTTATGTGAAGATCACACCTTATTACCTTATGTACAGATCACCCCTTATAACCTTATGTGAAGATCACACCTTATAACCTTGTGTACAAATCACCCCTTATAACCTTATGTACAGATCACCCCTTATAACCTTATGTACAGATCACCCCTTATAACCTTATGTACAGATCACCCCTTATAACCTTATGTACAGATCACCCCTTATAACCTTTTGTACAGATCATCCCTTATTACCTTATGTACAGATCACCCCTTATAACCTTATAACCGATCACCCCTTATAACCTTATGTACAGATCACCCCTTATAACCTTATGTACAGATCATCCCTTATAACCTTGTATACAGATCACCCCTTTTATCTTTATGTACAAAATTGAGGATTTAAACTTCATTTTTATTGTGTTTCCTCAGATTAAGGTGCTCCCTTTGTCCATGAAGAATCTTAAAAATCTAGAGATACTCAACTTGTCAGAGAACAGGATATTATTTGTTCCAGAGGAAATAGCATCTGGCATGATCAAGTTAACAACCCTTAAATTGTCTCATGTAAGTTTGGTTTTTTTCTTTTTAACTTTTTGGTTGTATTAATATTTGAAGTGCCAACTATTCATGATCAATATGGGACAAAAATAAGCAATGGTTTTATGACAATTCTATGATAAGTTTACTAGTTTTAAGAATTAGCTAGAAGCGTTTCACAATCATTCATTGAAGTAACATTGTGGTTTTGTTTGTTAATCATATCAGTATCACATCCCTTTAATCAGATTTTCAATTTTTTTAGTTTGTTTCAAAATGTCTCATTTACACTTTTCATTTTTCTGGACTTCTTGATGAGAAGGTATACATTAATACACTATGCATTTGTGCCACAACGTTCCTTCCCATTAAGAAAAATCTTTTATATTAACTTTGCTTTGTTAAATTATTTTCTGATGTCCATACTGATGAGTTCCTTGTTAAATTTACATTGGGCTGATGCAGATTCAAGTGGCCACAGTATGGTTGTAGCTCTCATTTAAAAGTCTGCATTTACTGTGTGTAATAAAAGTTTTTTACATTATTCTGAAGTTGTGCTACCATCTCAGCTGGTATCCTTCTCCCCTGCCACTGGGTACATGTAGTCATAATATCCTAATACACCCTGGGAATCACACCCTTATGCCACTGGGTACATGTAGTCATAATATCCTAATACACCCTGGGTAACACACCCTTACTGCCACTGGGTACATGTAGTCATAATATCCTAATACACCCTGGGTAACACACCCTTACTGCCACTGGGTACATGTAGTCATAATATCCTAATACACCCTAGGAATCACACCCTTATGCTACTGGGTTCATGTAGTCATAATATCCTAATACACCCTAGGAATCACACCCTTATGCCACTGGGTACATGTAGTCATTAATATCCTAATACACCCTAGGAATCACGCCCTTATGCCACTGGGCACATGTAGTCATAATATCCTAATACACCCTGGGTAACACACCCTTATGCCACTGGGTACATGTAGTCATAATATCCTAATACACCCTGGGTAACACACCCTTACTGCCACTGGGTACATGTAGTCATAATATCCTAATACACCCTGGGTAACACACCCTTATGCCACTGGGTACATGTAGTCATAATATCCTAATACACCCTAGGACACATACCCTAATGCCACTGGGTACATGTAGTCATAATATCCTAATACACCCTAGGACACATACCCTAATGCCACTGGGTACATGTAGTCATAATATCCTAATACACCCTAGGACACACACCCTTATGCCACTGGGTACATGTAGTCATTAATATCCTAATACACCCTAGGAATCACGCCCTTATGCCACTGGGTACATGTAGTCATAATATCCTAATACACCCTAGGACACATACCCTAATGCCACTGGGTACATGTAGTCATAATATCCTAATACACCCTAGGACACATACCCTAATGCCACTGGGTACATGTAGTCATATTATCCTAATACACCCTAGGACACATACCCTAATGCCACTGGGTACATGTAGTCATAATATCCTAATACACCCTAGGACACATACCCTAATGCCACTGGGTACATGTAGTCATAATATCCTAATACACTATCCTAATACACCCTAGGACACATACCCTAATGCCACTGGGTACATGTAGTCATAATATCCTAATACACCCTAGGACACATACCCTAATGCCACTGGGTACATGTAGTCATAATATCCTAATACACCCTGGGTAACACACCCTTATGCCACTGGGTACATGTAGTCATAATATCCTAATACACCCTAGGAATCACGCCCTTATGCCACTGGGTACATGTAGTCATAATATCCTAATACACCCTAGGACACATACCCTTATGCCACTGGGTACATGTAGTCATAATATCCTAATACACCCTATGACACATACCCTAATGCCACTGGGTACATGTAGTCATAATATCCTAATACACCCTAGGAATCACGCCCTTATGCCACTGGGCACATGTAGTCATAATATCCTAATACACCCTGGGACACATACCCTAATGCCACTGGGTACATGTAGTCATAATATCCTAATACACCCTGGGAAACACACCATTATGCTACACTTTTTTAGATTAGATCTAATTAATTTCCACCCTCATCTGGATCAGTTGAACGGACTGAAAACTCATGCTGTTTCAGAGTTGAATGGAGTGAAAACTCATGCTGTTTCAGAGTTTGAAGGAGTGAAAACTCATGCTGTTTCAGAGTTTAAAGGAGTGAAAACTCATGCTGTTACATAGTTGAACGGAGTGAAAACTATTGCTGTTTCAGAGTTGAACGGAGTGAAAACTCAAGCTGTTTCAGAGTTGAGCGGAGAGAAAACTCAAGCTGTTTCAGAGTTGAGCGGAGAGAAAACTCAAGCTGTTTCAGAGTTGAGCGGAGAGAAAACTCAAGCTGTTTCAGAGTTGAGCGGAGAGAAAACTCATGCTGTTTCAGAGTTGATCGGAGAGAAAACTCAAGCTGTTTCAGAGTTGAGCGGAGAGAAAACTCAAGCTGTTTCAGAGATATCAAAATAACTACAACAAAAATAAACAACTTAAGAGTATGTTATGTATTTCATGCTACTGAAGTCTTCCCCGTTAGGATTTTAACAAAAAACGTAGTTTTGCAGCATTGTCTTTGTGCAAACTCTGAAAATGACACAAACACATACACAAAGAAGAAAAAACAGTCAACAATGGTAATAAAAACTAAAAGAGATATGTATGGGACCTCTAGAGATACAAATGGGGGTAAATTCTATAAAAACAACAGATGTATCATGAAAATCATTAAAATTTACAACTAACATCTTGAAAAAATCTTGATACAACTTCTTGGGCTAATGTTGGTGATCACTGATTATCTGTTGATTAATTTGTGCATGCCATTCCAGTGTTTCCTCATTTAAGTTACAGACTGCTGTGTGGGTTGTAAGATGACACCTCTGAGGCTGCATTTACACTGAGTCCCTATTTCCCCCACATCAAAGATTGACATACCAGACCAAATTGGGTAGAAAAAGCAAATGAAATAAGAAAGGGAAGATGCTCACATTAGCTCAATCAAGAGTAGTCACAGTCTGTGCTTTGTGCACATATTAACAACATATGGTGGACAATCAAATGATCTTTTTTTGTCTTATTTTCTGATTGAAGCTTCAAGATAAAAGATGGCAGCTCGATTCGAGTGTTCATTTCAGTGTGATTACAGCCTATATCCATTCAGTGAAATACAGACCCAGTGTGATTACAGCCTATATCCATTCAGTGAAATACAGACCCAGTGTGATTACAGCCTATATCCAGTCAGTGAAATACAGACCCAGTGTGATTACAGCCTATATCCAGTCAGTGAAATACAGACCCAGTGTGATTACAGCCTATATCCATTCAGTGAAATACAGACCCAGTGTGATTACAGCCTATATCCATTCAGTGAAATACAGACCCAGTGTGATTACAGCCTATATCCATTCAGTAAAATACAGACCCAGTGTGATTACAGCCTATATCCAGTCAGTGAAATACAGACCCAGTGTGATTGCTGATTGCAGCCTATATCCAGTCAGTGAAATACAGACCCAGTGTGATTGCTGATTGCAGCCTATATCCAGTCAGTGAAATACAGACCCAGTGTGATTGCAGCCTATATCCAGGCAGTGAAATACAGACCCAGTGTGATTACAGCCTATATCCAGTCAGTGAAATACAGACCCAGTGTGATTGCAGCCTATATCCAGTCAGTGAAATACAGACCCAGTGTGATTACAGCCTATATCCAGTCAGTGAAATACAGACCCAGTGTGATTGCAGCCTGTATCCATTCAGTGAAATACAGACCCAGTGTGATTACAGCCTATATCCATTCAGTGAAATACAGACCCAGTGTGATTACAGCCTATATCCAGTCAGTGAAATACAGAGCCAGTGTGATTTCAGCCTATATCCAGTCAGTGAAATACAGACCCAGTGTGATTACAGCCTATATCCATTCAGTGAAGTACAGACCCAGTGTGATTACAGCCTATATCCATTCAGTGAAATACAGACCCAGTGTGATTACAGCCTATATCCATTCAGTGAAATACAGACCCAGTGTGATTACAGCCTATATCCAGTCAGTGAAATACAGACCCAGTGTGATTACAGCCTGTACCCAGTCAGTGAAAAGCAACTGTCAGTTTTAGTCTCTGTGTTCCACTCTAAGGACATTCTTCTCAAAATGAACATTATCATGCTACCTGGTCCTCATTTTTTGTGTGTATTTTTTGTTAGCATACAATCCATGTTTTTCACATGGACACAGTTGTCAAAAGACTTATTTCCAAATACTTTTCTGAGGGGTATGCCTACACAATTGCAGGGGCGGATCAACCTTTTTCTCATGGAAAGTTAGCTTTTTGGGCAGAAAATAAAAACAGATGAGTGAAAAAATAAAGAAAACAATACCTAGTAGATGGCACATTTCCAAATTTTGATTAAAATTAAAACCAAAATAAAATCCAGAACCATTGATAATCACCTAACTTTAAATGTAAAATTTGGTGATCATTTTCGGATAACTTGATGGTGAAAAATTTGGTCAAAAATAGGTTCAGTCAAGCATAAACACCCCCACTTTTGAATTGGTCCCAAAAGTTTGAGTTATTTCCAGGTTTCACTGTATATAGAAAAGTGTCATACGACACAGTAATCGGCTGGAGGTGAGGGGTGGGGGTGAGAAGACAGAAATCAAGGGCTACCTAGCCATACCTGCGCTAACCATCCCAAAAAAGCATTTAATACAAATAAATATATATATAAATATTTAACTACTGGATTTGCATGAGCACAACCATAAATATTTTCTTTATTTCCCCATTTGGGGAATGGCGGTAGAAGAGATTCAACATTTAGTAGGAAGATAGTAATAAAGAAGATGAAATAAAACATGGAAGAAAAGCTGTTTCAATGTTTGTCATGAATTTAAATGTTTTTAAAGTCAGAGAATGCTTCTTAAACCATTTGGCCCTGATCCTGAACTAAAATTGAGGCTGCCTTCAGGACCAGAAATCACTTGACCCACCCAGACAAAGACTCATGGCACTTAACTAATAGTCAAACTACTCCTTACAATCATCTGCATCAATCACTAGGGCTCTTTGTCTACTCTATTTTACAATGACCTGCATCAATCACTAGGGCTGTTTGTCTACTCTATCTTACAATGACCTGCATCAATCACTAGGGCTGTTTGTCTACTCTATCTTACAATGACCTGCATCAATCACTAGGGCTGTTTGTCTACTCTATCTTACAATGACCTGCATCAATCACTAGGTCTGTTTGTCTACTCTATCTTACAATGACCTGCATCAATCACTAGGGCTGTTTGTCTACTCTATCTTACAATGACCTGCATCAATCACTAGGGCTGTTTGTCTACTCTATCTTACAATGACCTGCATCAATCACTAGGGCTGTTTGTCTACTCTATCTTACAATGACCTGCATCAATCACTAGGGCTGTTTGTCTACTCTATCTTACAATGACCTGCATCAATCACTAGGGCTGTTTGTCTACTCTATCTTACAATGACCTGCATCAATCACTAGGTCTGTTTGTCTACTCTATCTTACAATGACCTGCATCAATCACTAGGGCTGTTTGTCTACTCTATCTTACAATGACCTGCATCAATCACTAGGGCTGTTTGTCTACTCTATCTTACAATGACCTGCATCAATCACTAGGGCTGTTTGTCTACTCTATCTTATAATGACCTGCATCAATCACTAGGGCTGTTTGTCTACTCTATCTTACAATGACCTGCATCAATCACTAGGGCTGTTTGTCTACTCTATCTCTCTTGTTAAAATGAATCTTTATAAAATGGCTATCTTTCCAGCATCCTAACTTCTGAACGTTGTATTTCTCATTTTTAAAACTCTAAAGGGAAATTGTTGACTTGAATTTGTGTAAGCCAAGGCAGGCTAAAAGGGAAATTGTTGACTTGAATTTGTGTAAGCCAAGGCAGGCTAAAGGGAAATTGTTGACTTGAATTTGTGTAAGCCAAGGCAGGCTAAAGGGAAATTGTTGACTTGAATTTGTGTAAGCCAAGGCAGGCTAAAGGGAAATTGTTGACTTGAATTTGTGTAAGCCAAGGCAGGCTAAAGGGAAATTGTTGACTTGAATTTGTGTAAGCCAAGGCAGGCTTTAGTAGGGAACTTTTTTGTTGTTTCAGTACATCAGAATAGTATTCCAGCTGTACCATAGGCCTGTCATTTCATATCACCCCATGTCATCAAAAGAAAATATCTCTCAAATACTTACATTTGATTGACTATACCCTTAGTTGAAATATCTCTCAAATACCTACATTTGATTGAATATCCCATTAGTTGAAATATCTCTGAGATACCGACCTTTGACCTTTGAATGACCCATCCCCTTAGTTGAAATATCTCTGAGATACTGACCTTTGACATTTGAATGACTATCCCCTTAGTTGAAATATCTCTGAGATACCGACCTTTGACCTTTGAATGACTATCCCCTTAGTTGAAATATCTCTGAGATACCGACCTTTGACCTTTGAATGACCTATCCCCTTAGTTGAAATATCTCTGAGATACCGACCTTTGACCTTTGAATGACTCTCCTCTAAGTTGAAGGATTGTCCTCCCTTTCCCTCCTAATATTTGAATGAATGTAACTGGGTCAGAATACAAATCTCAACAACTGATTAGAATATCACCCATGCTTTCAGAGTCCCAGTATCTCATATAGTGAGTAAGGTTGATAATTAAATAACATTATGCCAAGCTTATTTTAATCCCTAAAATCTTGTCCTTGCACTTGGCAGAAAATGCCTCTCAAACTTTTTATAGAGTCAAAAGTGCCATTAGGGGTCAGGCCTGCCCACCTTTTCCTATGCCATTGAAAAGAGGGTAATGATGAGAAATGGTAAAAGGTGGTGTGCAGAGTGGAGAATGTGGGCTTTTGTGGGCATCAATGCAGGCGAGGAGAGGGTCATTAGGGGAAGGTTGTTGAAGAGGGGGGGGGATCTTTGTGTTGTTTTAATGAAAGTAATGGATGACCGGTTTGTCTGTGAATTGTATATTTCTCTCTCACCACAACTTTCTCATTGTTCTTTTGACTACTGCTATGATGTTTGTTATTTTGACTACTGCTATGATGTTTGTTATTTTGACTACTCCTATGATGTTCTTTTTGACAACATCCAGCCTAAAACAAACAGTCAAGAAGATGGTAGCATTGACGATTCTGTGCTGGAAACTAACATCAAAGATTGTGAGGAAGACTGGGACATAGATTTAACGGTTTCATGTAAGATGTTACATAGTATAGATTGAATTGTGTCATGTAAGATGTTAAACGAGTCTCTAACATATTTTGTGTTTAAGTTTTAGGTTGAACTTGAACCAATTATTGTTTGTTTAAGTCATCAACGTTGTATTTCCCTATGGGAACGTATTGTCATTTTGATTAGGCCGCCCATCATTTCACCCTGATGATTCCATCAAACTTTGCTGTAACAGTCCATGGTAACAATCCAAAGTATAATAGCTTTCCTGTTGACCCAATTGTTTAAAAAAAAAATGCAAGTCTGATTTAAAAATAAAAAAAATATGAGGAATTTTATCTCAGTGGTTGACCAACTTTTCATTTCAGTGATCATTTGATTGAAATTGTGGAGTTTTATTTTACAATCTTATTTGATTTCTTTACACCAGCTTCGGGTGACGGTGTACAATGTTTTGATAAAGAAGTCCGGATCACTAGCGGTACTATAGGTGACACCTGTGTAGTTGGTCAGTTTGGTAGGTAATTTTGGAATAAATTTTTGGTAACTTCTATTTCTTGAATATCCATATAAAGCACATTATTTCACTTTTGCGCTCATTATTTCTTACATTGGATATGTACGTTTTACGTAATATTTTCATTCTGAGTTGACCCAATCAAAACAATATTCAATAAAACACTGTCCTAAACTGTTCAATGAAACACTGTCCTAAACTATTCAGTGAAACACTGTCCTAAACTATTCAATGAAACACTGTCCTAAACTATTCAATGGAACACTGTCCTAAACTATTCAATGGAACACTGTCCTAAATTATTCAATGAAACACTGTCCTAAACTATTCAATGGAACACTGTCCTAAACTATTCAATGGAGCGCTGTCCTAAACTATTCAATGGAACACTGTCCTAAACTATTCAATGAAACACTGTCCTAAACTATTCAATGGAACACTGTCCTAAACTATGCAATGAAACACTGTCCTAAGCTATTCAATGGAGCGCTGTCCTAAACTATTCCAAGAAACACTGTCCTAAACTATTCAATGGAACACTGTCCTAAACTATTCAATGAAACACTGTCCTAAACTATATCAAAGCAAACAAACAATCATTTCTTCTAACTCACTAATTTACATTGAACTAAGGCTGACTGCTGTGTCAATATGACGTAATTACTTTGTTCGGCTATGTTAGTGAATCTGCAACCTTTTTTTATGTGAGGAGCCATTTTATAAATCATGAATTTAATTTTTGTTTTAAAGCCGCAGTTTGCAGCGGGCCACTGAACTCTGATAGACATATAGAAGAGGGGATAACATGTTAGATGTTTTGAACATAGTTTACGTTGCCTTTGTTAAACTGCAGCAAATGTCATAATGTTGTTGTTTTTTTTTAGATTTGGATGGTGAGGAGTCCAGCATTAAAAGTGCCCTGCCACTGCCAGGCCAATTTGACTCCTTTGGGAACAGCAATTCAAGCTTTCATCTCAGTCATCTGAACTGGTTGCCTTTTAATCATCATAAGCCTAAAATACTACAGCATCTCTTCAATGTTGAAGAACACATCCCAGGACAATTTGACAGTGCTGAAGATGCATTATGAGAAGGAGGAGTGATATTTGACAAACATACAATGAATTATTTTGTAGGAATAAGCAACGGTTTAAATCTGTTGTAACAGTATCAGGCTAATTTGATGTTAATGTTATAACAGTACGAGGCTAATTTGATGTTAATGTTGTAACATTACCAGGCTAATTTGATGGTAATGTAACAGTACCAGGCTAATTTGATTGTAATGTAACAGTAACAGGCTAATTGATGGTAATGTTGCAACAGTATAAGACTAATTTGATGGTAATGTTGTGACAGTACAAGGCTAATTTGAAGGTAATGTTGTAACAGTACAAGGCTAATTTGATGGTAATGTTGTAACAGTGCAAGGCTATTTTGATCGTGATGTTGTAACAAGTATCCATAGATTCTAGCAGATCACCATAGATCATAGATTCTTTTGACCAGCTAGATTCTAGTAATGTACCGTAGCGCTAGAACATAATTTGCTTGGACTAACTCTTTGTTCCCTTCCCAGGCAAATCAATGAGATTTCAGCAGTGTTCCAATGAAATAAGACTTAGAAAACAAATCCTCTCTTTTCCATTGCCTTTATCACCATTTCTCTCTCACATCTACTGTCCTGACCTTGCATGAATGAATCTCTCTTGCATGGTTAGTAATTACAGCATCAGCATTTATCTTAAATTGACACTATTGAAAATAAAAGTTGAATACCTCATCAGTTAAAATTAATACGATTTTTGTTCTCCTTTTCTCTTTTGATTCAAGCATTAATAATTTTAAAATAAAACTGCAGCTCTCTAGGTGTCCTGTCTGGCAAACTCTCTAGGTGTCCTGTCTGGCAAACTGTCAAGGTGTCTTGTCTGGCAAACTCTGTAGGTGTCCTGTCTGGCAAACTCTCTAGGTGTCTTGTCTAGCAAACTCTCTAGGTGTCCTGTCTGGCATACTCTCTAGGTGTCCTGTCTGGCAAACTGTCAAGGTGTCTTGTCTAGCAAACTCTCAAGGTGTCCTGTTTGGCAAACTCTCTAGGTGTCCTGTCTGGCAAACTGTCAAGGCATCCTGTCTGGCAACTCTCTAGGTGTCCTGTCTGGCAAACTGTCAAGGTGACCTGTCTGGCAAACTCTGAAGGTGTCCTGTCTGGCAAACTCTCAAGGTGTCCTGTCTGGCAAACTCTCAAGGTGTCCTGTCTGGCAAACTCTCAAGGTGTCTTGTCTGGCAAACTCTCAAGGTGTCTTGTCTGGCAAACTCTCAAGGTGTCTTGTCTGGCAAACTCTCAAGGTGTCGTGTCTGGCAAACTCTTGGTGTCCTGTCTGGCAAACTCTTGGTGTCCTGTCTGGCAAACTCTTGGTGTCCTGTCTGGCAAACTCTCTAGATGTCCTGTCCCGCGCATCCTTTATTTTTGAATTGCTATGACTAAGTACGGGCTGTGGCAAAGCTAGGGCCAATGCCATCCGGGCAGGGCCAAGAAATTGTGGCCCCCTTCCAGGACAAAATGTTCACATCAGTACAGAAACATCTATCATTTTACTGTTGAAAATAGGTGTAGATATTATTATTAATAGACTATTATATTTCTTGAACTTGAATGCATTCAAAATCTAAACTTGATAAGCAGGATCTGACATCCGTTTTGGAATCAATGTGTGATAATCCATACAGATACAATTCATTCCCCCTGACCTACAGATGGTTCCCCCCGACCTACAGATGGTTCCCCTCTGACCTACAGATGGTTCCCCCCTGACATACAGATGGTTTGATTGATTGATTTGATATGTATTTATATCGCGCTGGTATCCATGCTACTTTAGCATGCTCATTGCACTCTGGTTTTCCTAAATCTATTTAAACAAAAAAGTATTTAAATGTTTCTTAAATGATTTTTTATCATTTTCAATTCCCCTCAAAGATTGAGGCAAACTGTACCATAATTTTAGCGCTATCACTTCAAAAGAGCGAACTCCTTAAAGACTTGTTCTATGTTCATCCCCACAAGGAACTCTCAGAAAGTAGTGTGTTGAAGACCGCAGGCTCTTCAAGGATAATTGTTTATAAATCAGTTCTTTAAGATATCCAGTGCTGAGCCATCTATGCAGCTGTACGCAAGTGACAGAAATTTGTAGTTTGGGTTACCCTAGGGGCTTACAGTCATGTGTATTCTTTTGGGTACTCAGGTGTTCACAGTCATGGGTGTTCTTGGGATACTCAGGTGTTTACAGTCATGGGTGTTCTTTTGGGTACTCAGGTGTTTACAGTTATCGGTGTTCTTTTGGGTACTCGGGGGTTTACAGTCATGGGTGTTCTTTTTGGGTACTCGGGTGTTTACAGTCATGGGTGTTCTTTTGGGTACTCAGGTGTTTACAGTCATAGGAGTTGGGGTACTCAGGTGTTTACAGTCATTGGTGTTCCTTGGTTTACTCAGGGGTTTACAGTCATGGGTGCTCTTTTGGGTACTCAGGTGTTTACAATTTTGGGTGTTCTTTTGGGTACTCAGGTGTTTACAGTCATGGGTGTTTTTTTTGGGTACTCAGGTGTTTACAGCAATGGGTGTTCTTTTGGGTACTCAGGAGTTTACAGTTATGGGTGTTCTTTTGGATACTCGGGGTTTTACAGTCATTTGTGTTCTTGGGGTACACAGGGTTTTACAGTCATGGGTATTCCTTGGGGTACACAAGGTTTTACAGTTATGGGTGTTCTTGGGGTACACGGGGTTTTACAGTCATGTGTGTTCTTTTGGGTACTCGGGGGTTTTACAGTCATGTGTGTTCTTTTGGATACTCAGTGTTTTACAGTCATGGGTGTTCTTTTGGGTACTCGGGGTTTTACAGTCATTTGTGTTCTTGGGGTACACAGGGTTTTGCAGTCAGGTGTGTTCTTTTGGGTACTCAGGGTTTTACAGTCATGTGTGTTCTTTTGGGTACTCGGGGTTTTACAGTCATAGGTGTTCATTTGGGTACTCGGGGTTTTACAGTCATTTGTGTTCTTGGGGTACACAGGGTTTTACAGTCATGGGTATTCCTTGGGTTACACAAGGTTTTACAGTCATGGGTGTTCTTTTGGGTACTCAGGGTTTACAGTCATGCATGTTCTTGGGGTACACAGGGTTTTACAGTCATAGGTGTTCTTTTGGGTACTCAGTGTTTTACAGTCATGGTTGTTCTTTTATTAATTTTTATTAAAAACTTTATAGCAGTTGTGTGAGCGATTTAGCTCCAAATTAAATCAGCATTATGATTTCGTAAAACTCTGTCCCTGATCAATGTTTCCAAGGCTTCATGTGTCATACACGGAATAATTTCTGGTGATAGTAGAGTGCAATTTTTTATTTAAATGTTTTCATGTACCGTAGTTTAATTTTCTTATATTCCTTACGCAAGAAGTTAGTCTAGATATTGTTTAACTGACATGAAACATTAACTACCGGTAGTATTTAAGGATGTCATTTTCTGACATCAAATATTAACTACCGGTGGTAATAAAGGATCTCATTAAGGACATCCAACATTAACTACCGGTGTTAATTAAAGATGTCAGTTTCTGTCTATGTAAGTCTCTATTATTTTCTTTAGTTTAAAAAAAAGTTTTTAAAGTTTTAAATGAATTTAACGGAGTTCTTCAATGTGTTTTAGGGGTTTCTTCAATGTGTTTTAGGGGGTTCTTCAATGTGTTTTAAGGGGTTCTTCAATGTGTTTTAGGGGGTTCTTCAATGTGTTTTAGGGGGTTCTTCAATGTGTTTTAGGGGGTTCTTCAATGTGTTTTAGGGGGTTCTTCAATGTGTTTTAAGGGGTTCTTCAATGTGTTTTAAGGGGTTCTTCAATGTGTTTTAAGGGGTTCTTCAATGTGTTTTAAGGGGTTCTTCAATGTGTTTCAAGGGGTTCTTCAATGTGTTTTAAGGGGTTCTTCAATGTGTTTTAGGGGGTTCTTCAATGTGTTTTAAGGGGTTCTTCAATGTGTTTTAGGGGATTCTTCAATGTGTTTTAAGGGGTTCTTCAATGTGTTTTAGGGGGTTCTTCAATGTGTTTTAGGGGTTCTTCAATGTGTTTTAGGGGTTCTTCAATGTGTTTTAGGGGGTTCTTCAATGTGTTTTCCCTATAAAAGCCTACATTGATTACAATAAAAAGCTTCTAGCTAATATGTAGCCTCTAGCTAGATCACATCAGTCCACCATTGCATGGCTTGGCAACTACATGGCCACTATTGTATAACTTGGCATGACTCTGCCACTCCAGTCCACAATTACATAACTTGGCCACTCCATGTTACTCCAGTCCACTATTGTATAACTTGGCCACTCCAGCCCTCCAGTCCACAATTGCATGAGTTGGCCACTCCATTATACTCTAGTCCACTATTGCATGACTTGGCCACTCCAGTCCACAATAAAATAACTTGGCCATTCTATTCCAGTCCATCATTGCATGACTTGGTCACTCCAGTCCACAATTGCATGACTTGGCCACTCCAGTCCAAAATTACATAACTTGACCACTCCATTCTACTCCAGTCCATTATTGCATGACTTGGCCACTCCAGTCCACCATTGCCTGAATTGGCCACTCCAGTCCACAATAAAGAGAAGCTATGTTGACAGTCAATAAAGTTAAAGAGAAGCTTTGTTGATAGTCATTAAAGAGAAGCTATGTTGACAGTCAATAAAGAGAAGCTATGTTGACAGTCAATAAAGAGAAGCTATGTTGATAGTCAATAAAGAGAAGCTATGTTGACAGTCAATAAAGAGAAGCTACGTTGACAGTCAATAAAGAGAAGTTATGTTTTAGTCAATAAAGAGAAGCTATGTTGACAGTCAATAAAGAGAAGCTATGTTGATAGTCAATAAAGAGAAGCTATGTTGATAGTCAATAAAGAGAAGCTATGTTGACAGTCTATAAAAGAGAAGCTATGTTGATAGTCTATTATAGAAGTAGAAGCTATGTTGATATTAAATCATGTTTCAAATATTTGAACACCTACACATACTGAAGAGTCGTTTAACTTGATAAAAAAATATGAGTAGCTTTGATCAATAAATTTCAATTTAAAATGTTGATGAGAATTTTTTCAACATCTGGCTCAGTTTATACGATGGTCTTACCAAACCAAATTAAAAAATAATTTATCTTACCTGACTGGCTGTCTGAATACATTAAAAGGGAAAAAGTTCAAAATTAAAAAGTTTAACATTTTCATCCGATAGCATTCAATATGATACTACCTCTTCCACCAACACGTGCATTCAATATGACATACGGCCTCTTCCACCAACACGTGATTTCAATATGACACACGGCCTCATCCACCAACACGTGCTTTCAATATGACATACGGCCTCATCCACCAACACGTGCTTTCAATATGACATACGGCCTCATCCACCAACACGTGCTTTCAATATGACATACGGCCTCATCCACCAACACGTGCATTCAATATGACATACGGCCTCATCCACCAACACGTGCATTCAATATGACATACGGCCTCATCCACCAACACGTGCTTTCAATATGACATACGGCCTCATCCACCAACACGTGCATTCAATATGACATACGGCCTCATCCACCAACACGTGCATTAAATATGACACACGGCCTCATCCACCAACACGTGCTTTCAATATGACATACGGCCTCATCCACCAACACGTGCATTCAATATGGCATACGGCCTCATCCACCAACACGTGCATTCAATATGACATACGGCCTCTTCCACCAACACGTGCTTTCAATATGACACACGGCCTCATCCACCAACACGTGCTTTCAATATGACATGCGGCCTCATCCACCAACACGTGCTTTCAATATGACACACGGCCTCATCCACCAA